CTCTTTAGGTTGTACTGACAGTTGTTACATTGCTCAAATTAGCTCTTAAGGTTGTAGTACTGACAGTTGTTACATTGCTCAAATTACCTCTTTAGGTTGTAGTACAGACAGTTGTTACATTGCTCAAATTAGCTCTTTAGGTTGTAGTACAGACAGTTGTTGCATTTATCTTACGATCAGACCTTACTGTCTTGGGACTAACCGTTGTCAGTATGATTTATTGATGGCGTAACCCGTTGGAAGGATTTTGATTGTGTTAACAGACGCAGCCGTAATGTTTGTTTCCCCAGTGGTCAATTGGGCAGTTCCGTTCATTGTCGGAGTAACGGCTCCATTATTATTGTTATCTCTTACCGTTGTAACTGATGGGGCCACTGAGGTAAGTTGTATGGTAACCCTGCTGCTCAACTCTTGGTTTATTATCATCCCGAGACACTCGGGAACTGTCCTAGTCACACGTCCCCCTTTACTGTTTACGGCTATACATTTGAGTGCATATGTTCTGTTGGGTTGGATTATCTTGTCTTTCAGTTCCATCACCCATCCAGATGTCTTCGGTGCCACCCTCACCCCACACTCAACAGTTTTCCACGCTGACACACCGGTGACATTATTAATACTCCACCCACACAGCTCATTCTGCTTCTCTTCACCCTCTATCATCTCCAATACATGGATTTCTCTTTTCGCTAAGTTAACTGTCACCCCTTGATATGGGATGCGCAACTTTATGTTGTTGTTTACCAATCCATACGCTAGTATTATCATGGGTTTAGGATCACCATTATCCACTCGTACTAGTTCATAAGTCATTCAGACTCCTTGTGAAGTGTCAATGTTTTTTATTTCCACATGTACATATTCGACATGATTTGGGTTCCACAGTCGGCTCGTTCTGACCTCAACGTCAAGCTGATCTCCTGCCGTTATGGTAATTAAACACTGGTCCAATCCCCACTTTAGTGCTTGCTTACCTTTACTATGCCTGCACAGTTTTGACACTTCTACTTTATACTGTTTTTCTCCTTCGTCGTCTCTTTCTACGTGTATTAGCGTGCAACTGTCTGAACGCTGGATAGGCCGGTTTGACCTTAAATGGCAATGCTGGCATAGGTCCTGGGCTAGCATGGGTTGTAATATGTGTGGTTGCATCGTACTCATCTGAGTCATGGCTTCTGGATCTCCTCCAGGATGGCTGAGTCACCGTCTGGGAGCTGACCTGCATGCTCTGTGGTGTCACAGGTTTCAGCACCGTCAGTCTCTCCTGCCCCACGCTTCCTAACAGCATCCACATCAGAACGCCCATTAGTTTCAACACATGTTCCAGGCTTACCGTGTTTGTCATTTTTTTTCTCACTTCGCACTGCCCTTGGTTTTGTCCTGGACTTTCGTGCAATGACTCAAGTGATACCATGTTGTACTTCTTTCGACCTGGACCGCTGTTGGCATTGCTCGCACCACTCTATAGGGACCATCCCGCCTTGGCTCGTGCCACTTTCGTCAGAAGACTTTAACAGTTTCTCTGGCTTGTGGTCGGACCCTGGCTCTTTTCCCTTCTCCTGCAAGTAGGTGGATCTATGTATGGCAGTGAGTTGCTTCATATAGTCCTTTAACTTTATTTGCAGCTGCTGTACTGGGGGTTCCTTGTGGTGGCCTCTAAGTTGAGGTGTGGGCACAGGTCTACCTGTTAGCATTTCATGTGGTGTTAGGTGCATGCTCCTGTGAGTTTGCATGCAATAACTCATTAGCGCAAGTGGCAAAGCATCCACCCAGTTTAGCTTCGTGCTTGCACAGATCTAATTCAACTTCGCCTTTAACGTTGCGTTAATCTGTTCCACTGAACCTTGACTTTGTGGGTGGTACACAGCCCTCAACTGTTGTAAAATCCCCGTGGCTACTTTCTGCACAAATGCTGAACCATTATCTGAGCTTATTTCTGATCTTATGCCAAATCATGGGACGACTTCCTTTGTCTGAAACTTGACAACAGTTTCAGCTCCTAGGTTTTTTGATGGAGTTGCTTCCACCCAGGGACTGAATTGATCAATTACCACTAGCATGTAGCACTTTCCATATGCTGATTTTATCATGTCTACATAGTCTATGACTAAGTGTTTGAACGGCCCTTCTGGGACTGGGATATGTCCCATCTGTGTTTTTATGCTTTTCCACACATTGTTTTGAGCACAGATTTCACTTAACACCGACCACCATATCCAGTTAGACGCTATAGGGCAGCCTAGAGGGATTGCAGAGGAGTTCCAAGCGTGAAATGAGATTAAGGCTGGATTTGAATCTATACTGCCCTTAAGTACTATTAAGAAGAGAACTAAGGTATAAAAGTCAGGCGTAAAAACTCTGACATTTTGGATCTGTTGTGAACTTGTCATTGTGAGTGTTAGGGCCGCATCTTTTGAACACAGCGAGAAATCGCCCCCCTCCCTGCCTCCATGTGCTCTCAATCGCCTCCAAAACACAACAGCAGGTTTAAGTCAAAATCTTAATGGATTTATTATCCAAGAAACATGAAAACAGTTATAAACAGTTACAAACCAAATCACACTATTAATAACAAAATAAACATATATATATATATGTTGGGAATAACATAGCCTCAAAAAGGGGGCAGCATTATGTTGGGAATAACATAGCCTGACATGGGTTATCAGCAATATGTTGGGAACGTAAAGGAGCGTGTTTGGGTTATCAGCATCTAAGAAACTAAATTCTTGACATCAATAGAATTATTAATGTCAGTAACAATTATTAATAATTATTAATAATAACGGGGCACCACCCTGCGAACAGGGACCAATAACCAAACGATAAAACTAAGTCTCATAATTAGTGTTCACTCACAATGTCAACAGTCTGAGTACTATTACACATTCAGAGTGAAAGTGAAGGTTTAAGTTCGAGCACAGACCACATATACAGCTATCATCACAATACATGCACAAAGTAATCACAGACAGCTGCTCTTTAAAATATAAGTTTATTACGTTCTAATACTAATGATCTAGTCAACTAATATCTAACACTAACAACAACTATACAAGTATACAACTATA